TGGATCCATACCTCCCAAGAAAGGAATCTTCAGAAAAGATTGATGGAAATTTCTCAGCAGGCTGATAAACATACATTAAACATGAACAACAGGCTCATAATGCACAACAATTTCAATAGTAAAAGATAAGAAATTGATTAAAAACTTTTGACTATGCATTTTGATTAAAAATATATGCAACAAGCTCATAATTTAGTTTGTGAAAAATTCCTACAGTTGTTTGATAATGGTCTCGCATATTGATTAGCAACCTATCTCCATCAAATGGCATACAATTCTCCTTCCCATCATAATTTCAAAGTTTTGGTGTAGTGGAGGGGATCTTTAACAATTTACTACATCAATGGAATGATATAAGTTGTTATATCAGCTCGTCACATAGCCAGCAGAAACACAAAGAGGACTAATACTTTTACACCCTCGCAGGTGACAAATTAATTAGATGAAATCATTCATTAGAAACTGTACGAGTTTCAAGCTTAAGCCAGACAATGAAAGAGGAAAGATCAACTCATTCGAAGAGTAACATGTACAAACAGAATGTTGATAAAATAAGATTGGAACAGATTGAGTGCAGGCCTAGTAAACCCAACTGAGCAAGGTGAATGAGATTCATGAGCTCAGATGTAAAGGATCCATAAAGATCAACAGGCACTATTGGCCAGATAATAAATATTAGCCGTTACATAGTGGTAACTGGAGTAGAAAATTATGCATTAGCCATGTTAGTAAATCTTTTGGCAGTCACCTAACCAGGTTTTCCTATAATTGAACCTAAAATGAGAGTAAAAAAAGGAAAAAACAAGTTGAAATTTTCCTTCTTTCATCATTTGCAATTTCAGATTGGGTTAACTTCAAATAATAATTTACCTCCGTCTCTACCACTGTATAAAAGCATGCCCATAAAATAACTGCCATGAATATATATACATGCCTAAATATGTCTGTACGTGTATATATGCATTATAAGCAATAATAAACCTTACATGATATATTTTTCAAGTTTGACATAGACCTGTACTAGCTTATACGCAACATTATGCTTGAGAATAGCAATGCATGTTCCTTTATATGTAAGACCTACTACTACTTTGGAATCCTCGTGTTATACAAGTAAAAGGTGTTTTGCTAAGAGTTTGAAAAACTTCATTACCTGTGCAAAGAATCCTCCAACAGATGGACCAATAATCAGACCAATGCCCCATGCTGTGCTGACCTGAAATAAGATTTGAATTGGGCTATTAGAATTCCGAATTACATAAATAAAATGAGATGTAAAATAAATGTGGGGACTTTTGATGCTAAGGTTCACAACAGAAATTATGAAAAAGGTTCTTACTAGTGATAGCGCAATAGATTGATGTTCTGGCTGGCAAACCTCAGCAGCATATGCCTGCATAGAAGTAAAATAAAAATCCAAGAAAATAACTTGCTAGCAACTTTCGACAACTTCATCGATGTGAAAAGAAACTAGTTAATACTTTTATCGGGCCAAGCAAACCATTGAAAGCTCCAAGAAGAAATCTTGTAGCTATTGCCATCCAATAATTTACACTTAATCCAAAGAGTGTGTTGAATATAACCCTGAAATAGGAAATAAAAAAAAAGGTCAAAATAAGTCTAGGAACTATCTAGTACTGAAAAAAATCTCTGGAAGAAAATAATACTGACAACGAAATGAGGCCAATTATGATAACAGGTTTTCTTCCCCATCTATCTGCCACTATTCCCCAAAATACAGAAGTCAAAGCTCTCCCAAACATAAATGCAGCACCTTCATTGCAGGAAACATGGTTTTTTTGTCATGAACTTGTGAAGTTTGAACTAAAACCGAACTTTATATCACCATCTATTAGAAAATAAAACATCATGTCAACATATATTTCATTCGACTTACCTACAAAACCTGCATAAAACCCGATATCTTCCACTTTCTTGGCAATACGCAAGTCCCTTATCTGTGTCAAATGAAAGTTGACACCACCATGAACATTTGTATCAAATCATATTAAAGCAATTATGATAATCTTGAACAACACCATTTAATAGATAGGTGTCTACTCTCCCATCTTTCTTTTATTTAGGAAAAAGAAGAAAATTAAGTATTACACAACCCTACAGGCATACTGAAAGACAAAAACAGCTTTCTAGATGGAAATTTACAATATAGAAACTAATGTGCCTTAACTAAAAGAAGACCTTAAGGTTCATTGACCGTATAATCGCATCCTTATTGTTTTCTGATTCAGGAAGCAAAACACGAATTACTCCAGAAAACGCGAAATAAAGCAATTACATTTACATGTTTGGAAGCATTGTGATGTAAAATGTTATGAAGAGGAAGAGCATATACATGAAGGGAAACATAAGCTTATACGTACCATGAAGTACAAGAAGGGAAATAATGAGGATATTGGTAAACCTGAAAAAAATAAAACAGAGAATCGAAATAAATCAACATCTAGTCAGAGACTACGAATCAGCAAGAACATTTCCCTTATTTCTATTTTTTTCATTTTCTTGCATCTTCAGTAACAAATAAGAAGTTATTTATTCAAGCATGAAGCATTAATCCACAAAAAACCTTGATTTGCTGCATTTACCTTAATCAATTGATTTCAATAAGTTTCTTACTGCAGGCCTATTAACCAAAAAACCATCCAAGAAAAATCTCACTGCGGTAAAGAAGAAGACGACAAATAGAAGATTCTCCTAACAATATGAGAATAATGCCATCACCGCCATCAATTTTGGGAGTAATGATACTTGTTGTAAAGCTAAGTGTCCATGTCGCACATCTAAATATTTGTCTAACTTATGTTTTTCTAATCAATATCTAAAATACTTGCAAATTTGACCATTTTACACATTAAGCTAGTTTAATCCAGAAGCTCACCAGCTCACAATGTCATCACAATGTATAATTGGAGTTAGTTTAAACTCTGCAAAACATGCAGTACCAAAAAAAACATTCTGAAAAACCTAACATTTTTGTCTCAAGCCTACAAAAAAAAAATATTTGCAGGAACTAAACAAACATACCGTCGTCTTTAAAAACCCAATCTTTGCCCCAAAAAAAATTCCATAAAACTCCAAAACAAAACAGACCCGAATGAAAAAAAAACCCCTCGAGAATTATGAAATTACCGGTCGCCAGAGTGATTATCCACACATAGAAGAACTCTTTATAAGGCAATCCAGTATTTGCATTCTTCTTCTGATCAATCCTGCAACCTGGGCAATTCTCAAAGTAAACTTTCTCCAGCAATGGCACCTCCTTCTCATTTCCCATTTTCTCCAAAAAAGAATCAAACTTTGTGTTTTTTTCTCAGTTTTTTTTTTCCCCTCAGACCCACCTCAAGATTTTCGCTAACATGAAGAGAAATGAAGTTATTTTTACGTTGAAAGCCAAATTTCCTTCGATTAAACAGAGAGAGCCGTGTTTTGTTTGAAGAGGCGCTTGGGTCCCTCTACGGTCGCGTGAGCGCACACGTCATTTGAGGAGAGACAAACAAGGAGGGGGAGGAGTGGTAGTCACCGAACTTAAAATTAGAAGCGGAATAACATGTGAGATAAATTTTTTAAGTGTTAGTCAAAAGTAAAATAGAACTAAAACCAGAATAAAATTTTACAGTGTTAGTTAAGTAGAATTTTAACATAACTAGAATTGGGATAATGATACAATTTTTTTTTCTATACAAAAAAAAAAGTTCTAGTCTTTCAAATTATTCAAAGTTTTAGCTTGGAACTAGGTGGTTAAAACCTAGAACTCATATTTATTTTGTTATTTTTAACTTTTTATATTTATTTATTTTTCTTTACTTCTTTCCTATTATGGTTATCACCATCATTATAGTAATAATTGTCAATATCTTATAGTCGAACCAAAAGTTATTTAATAGTAAAGAACATTCTTGTAAGCAATTATCAATCAATAATAGTAAGTTTAAAATACATAAATAGTATTTATATCTTCAAAATGCATAAATATATATTTCATGATTATAAAAATCTATCCTACGTTATTTTATCAAAATATCCCGCTTCATAAAATTGTTCCTATTAACATGAAAATGTCCCAATTGACTAACACTCCCGAAAGAAATTTTGATTGCTGTTGACTACTGAGTATTTTTTTTTCCCCTGCTCTCTCTCTCTCTCTCTCTTTATTTTTGTTGATTAATTTTGAAGAAAAAGGAAGCATTTTTATGGTTGTAAGTCGTTCATATGAATTTGACGACAAATTTGTTAAAAAAATCCCCGGTCCTTGATTGTATTACATTACTTTCCAAGTGGAAATAAATTTGTAAAAAACATCCCTACTTTTTTAATTTTATTGCGACGAGTTAGAAAAACACTATCTGATATTGTTAATAGAGTATTTTCTGCGCATGACCGAAGTCCAAATAAAAGAAATATGATTGAGAATACTAGAATGGCATTGTTCATGGAATAGACGTAACAAATATATTCAGAAAAGCCAAAAAGGACATTATTAGATATAATATGTTAATTAGGCATTTGCCTATTTTCAGCTACATTGTAACTGCATTTTGATAAAATGTCTAAATAAAGTGACAAGTTATGCCTAATTAAACTATGCAATTATAAGCTATCAAAGATCAAATGGCTCCCAAAGGACATCACTATAGTGCACTAGAATATCTTAAATAAGATTTACACTATATTATATGTAAAAGAAATAATATGATTTATAAAAAGAAATAATATGATTTACGTGGTACACCTATAAACTATGCAAGAAAATAGTTGTGAGGGTGTAATCTGCAATTTTTCCAATGATTGATGTAAAGTTGAGTGTCCTCCGTTAGTCCAAGGAATCACATGGTAGAAAAGTCGCGCCTCCGTTAATAGCCATAAACAAGAACTATGTTCTTGCACGTCATTGTTCTTGTTTGGTTCCAATCGTAACCGTGTAAGTTTTTTTTCTTTTTGGACTGTTTATAAATTGGACAATGACTGTTTATAAACTGGACAAGAATTCTAAAAATGTGGCTTACAGGGATCAAAAAGGAAGTTCTTTAACTGTGGCAAATTTAAAATTTTTTTGGGAAAGTGGTCTCTATACACAGTTAAGTCTAATCATATCATTAGTAATGCTATCAAACACATCTTTCTCAATGTATGCCAGTAACCAATCATTGAGCCAAACAGTACTCATTTTATTTCACAGCTTGCTCTTTATCAATTTTATTGCGTAAAAAGCTCTTTTGACGGTTACCGTGCCACGAATAAAATCAACATCATCTTCAAAACAAACAATACAAAATACTTTCAAGTGATGATTTTAAATGGGGTAGAGTCTAGTTATTCATTAGCCAAAGTGGGGTCACATGAACCCACTTTGGTATAGGTGGACTTGTCGGTGGTTCTTAATATATAGTATAAACAAGGTGTCAAAGTTGAATTAAGAATTTTAAGGAATTGCACGTTGATTTAATGGTCCATATTTATCTAGCACGCTACTAACCAGCATAAAATTTCTCTCATGAATTATCCTTAACTTTTGAGTATTGAGCTAAACTTATTTAGTATTGACCCTAATTTTTTTCGAATTTGGATTATCTCCACTGTAAAAAAATAGTGGAGAGATCACTACTTTAACCTCGTTCATTAATTATCTAGTGGGTGATTATGATACATTCTAAATCTAACACTCACCGTATTGCCCGTATATTACACTCGTTTTTAATTTACATTTAAAGAAAAAATCATACCACCCACTAGATGATCAATAGTTTTGATTAAGTAGACGTACATCTACTATATTTTTTTACTAGGGGAGATGATTTGAATCCTAGCTTTTCACTTAATTTGTTCCCCTTTCTACTTTTTTTTCAATTTGGAAGTACATTCATTATTAATGGACAAAACTATTGATCATCTAGTTCTATTTTATTCTTGAGAGGGCTGTGCCAGCAAATTATTTGGCACATTAATATGAGAAAAATAGCTAAGTTCAAACTCGCGCAAGAATCTCGAGTCCACTGTAAGAAAATAAATTTTAGGACAAAGAAGGGGACGGTATAATATTACCTCCAAATATAGTGAAGAGAAAGTTTATAAGATCAAAAACTGCTAAAAAGAAAAAGGTTTCATGGTTCTTTTCCCCGTAGGCGAAATTGTGGGGTCTAATTACCCATTTAACTCAGAAAAAAATATATATCAAAACATCGCCAGAGCTAAAAAAAAATGCCCAAATAATAAGAGAGATTAAAAAAAAACATCAATATGCTAAATTAGCCGACTGCGGAGAGGTCACAAGTATCTCAAGATCCATGTCTCTTTCCAAGCGAAACTATCACGTGGCTTTACACTTTTATGTTTCTCTGTGAGGATTTCATGCATCGCAGATTTGGATGAGAAAGTTTGCACAAAACTATCATAGAGACATATATTTCATTAACTTCATTAATTTCATCGCTATGTCAAGAAAAGGAGACGCCACCGTTAACTTCATTAATTTCATCATGTCACTTGCTGGCTTTTAATGCGATCCAGTTTTGCCGCCTATCAAATCTAACATTTTCCGATATTTAAAGTATTATTGTACTGGCTTTTCCTTATGAAGGATAAACATTAATAGAAAATCTCCCTATATTTTTTCTTATTCACGAAACCCACGGTTTAATTACCTAGAAAAATCTATGATTATAAGTTATGACAACTAGATATTGTCCATAATATTTACATGTTTGTCACAATAAAGTTACAATTATAAATAAATTCGATTATTAATTTAGTAGGGTCGAAACTTATGGGGTCAAGATGTCACTTTTTAAAACCTTTCCTTGTATCATATCATCATTACTCTCTTTAAAAATACGAGTTCGGAAAAATCTTTCTATAGCCAATATTAACCTTATTTTTTTTGAATATTACATTCTTATCCTAATATATTCTAATTATCTTATCTTCTATGAATTGTTAACTAAATGATTTATTCTATTCCTAATAAGACTTAACATGTTATTGGATAAAATAGATATGTTTCATATAATTCAAATCCTTTACTTATTTCAGTTCGAGACTTAACATGTTATTGGATAAAATAGATATGTTTCATATAATTCAAATCCTTTACTTATTTCAGTTCGTAGAGAAATCTAAAAAACATATAAATAGATATGTTTCATATAATTCAAATCCTTTACTTATTTCAGTTCGTAGAGAAATCTAAAAAACATATACTAGCCAACAGCTTAAAGTTTTTGAACTTTGTAAAAAATATTCTCCAAGTTTTTTAGATTACAAAAAAAACCCTATAAATTCAAATTTTTATTAAAACATCTTGAAAATTATAAATTTTACTTATCTCAATTCAGTGAGAAATCTGAAAAATATATGCTAATTAGAAACTGAAAGTTTTTTGACTTTAGAGAAAATATCTTGTAAGTTTTATAAATTACAAAAACACCTCTAAAAGTTTAAAATTTATAAAAAATACCTTGAAAATGTCAAACTTATAAACATACTAAAAACCTATAAATAACACAAACAATCCCCAAAATTTTATGGAATTTGCAATACACGCTCGAAAATTTTTATAAATTATAAAATAAAACCCTCAAAATTATAAAATTTATAAAAAACTTAATAATTTCTGACCTAACAGTATATTAAAAATATAGGAATTATAAATATCCCCTACATAATTTGTAATTTATAAAAAAACATCCTTAAAGTTTTAAAAATTACAAACAAACACTTAAAGTTCAAAATTTACAAAAAAACTCCCTAAAAATTTCAAATTCATTAGTAAATTAAAAATATAGGATGTATTAATAGTTTATAAACAATTTACAATCTGTAGTAAAGGCCTATAAGTTTAAAAATTTATAAAAAGTCCTAAAAATTTATAATTTATAAAAAAAACTCCATGAGAATTTCTAACCTATAGACACTAAAATAAATATGTAAAATTACTAACAACCCCTAAAAATTAAAATTTTACAAAAAATATCATACACCTTTTAAAAGTATAGGTTTAGAAAAAACTTTTCATGCTAAGCATTACCCATACTTGAAATTTATAAAAATACCCTTGAAGTTTAGTACATTGCAAATTACCCCTCTAAAGTTTAAAATTTTTTAATAAATATTTTGTAATTCCTTGATTTCAATGTACTGTTTAATAGTTTTGTGTATTTGTAAATTACAAATTTTAGAATATTATTTGATACATTTAAAACTTTTGAGGGTGTTTATTTGAAGGTTTTTAAAATTTTATTGTATTTTTAGTGTACTGCACATATACATCAATTAATGATGATATTAAAGAAGAAGTCGTTCTTAAGATTATCAGATCATAGTTAAGTGTGCACATCACTATTCCTAGGCAGTATAGTTTATATATGTAAAAAATTTTAGACAATCTATATAGTGGTTAAAAAGATTTT